ATGGTGGCTTAGGCTTTTATATATATATATAAACTAGGGGCCCAGTGCATGGATTTGTGCACCTTGAAAGGAACTGTGGGCCATGAGGCTGTGGTGGGCACAGGGGCGGGTCTCAGCCCATCCTCCATGCCCCAACCTGGCCCCTCCTGCTGTGGCCTCCTGTCCCCTTTCTGCCAGCAGTCCCGCTCCTACCACCACTCCCATGCGCTGACAGTGCGGAGCTATTGGGGCAGGTGCCAGCAGCAGGTGTGAGCCCCAAGCGCCCCTCAGGAGCAGGGTGAGGTGGAGAATCAGGCAATCAGGGCTGGCAGCCGCTGCTTGCACCCACTGACAGCACCAAGCGATTGGGACCTGCTGGCAGCGGGTGCGAATGGGGCTGGTGCCGGTAGCAGGTGTGAGTGCCAGGTGGGACTGTGGCGTGCAGGAGCAAAGAATTTTCAGTAACCACCAGAGGCTCACCCCGATGACAGTGACCAGCACCCTGCCTTAGTCTGGTGCCCCCGCTCTTCTGCTCCACCATCCCGCCATGGCCAACGCCCGCCATGTTCCGCATGCGCCCCCTGGTGGTCAGTGAACATCATAGCGACTGGTTGTTTGGTTGTTCAGTTGTTCTGCCATTTGGTCTATTTGCATATTAGCTTTTTATTATATCGGGTATGCTTAATACTGCTCTGATCCTGGAATGATTCCTCAATAACTCCTGCCCCTCCAACTCAAATCCCCCACCTCTCCAATCCTTATTGCTGCTCTCTTCTCTAAGCACTTGTGGTCAGTAGCCACATTGCTGTTCATTGGTTTTTATTCCTTTTCTACTGTCTTGCCTACATAATGGATCCTTTTCTACTTCATACCTTCAACTACCTTCTATGAACTAAAAACTACTGTGTCTCTCTATCTTTAGCTCAAACTTCTCTCTTGAAATCCAAGCCTGTCTATCCAACCAGATGGCTCCCACCAAGCATCAGCCTACCTGCTAGCATCCGTACCTATCAACTCTGCCTCCCCTCCTCTCATTATAATGACTGTACATGACCCTCTAAGTTCATCATCTGTCCTTATAACTGGATTCCCAAAGACATTATTCTAGCAATTCTTCTCTCCTAATCTTTACCATCAATTTATTTTTGTCTATTAGGTTATTATCATTAGCATACAACTATCTTGTTCTGTCTTCTACCTTAAAAAATAAACAACTCTCTTGATCTGGCATCCCCTTCCATTTCCTGTACAATTCCTCTACTCCATTTTATACCAAAACTCCATTACAGGGCTGTGTATACTCTCTGTCTTAATTCCTTTACTCCCATCAGGATTTTGACACCATGATTTCACCGTCCTGTAAAGGTCACCAATGACCTCCACATTCTATATCCATTATTCAATTTTCAGTCTCATCTTACTTGACATGTTGACAGCATTTACATAGCCACTGCTGTCTCATTCTTGGGGTGCTTTCCTCCTTCACAGTCTCTTAGTATTCATCTTTCCTGCTTTGTTTTAGTGGGTTCTTTTGTGTGTGGGGGTTTTTATCCCCTGGTTCCTTCTTATCACCCCTAACCTCTTAACATTGGTATATCCTGGAGCCGGATTCTTTGAAATGTTTTCCTATCTACCTCACTCCCTAGGTGATTTCATTCATTTCATGGCTTTAAATACCACCTAGGTATCAATGACTCACAGATTTGTGCCTCTAGGTCAGACTCTCCTCCTGAACTCCAGACTATTTCCAACAACAGTCTGTTCAAAATCCCCACTTGGATAGATAAGGACAGATCAGATCAAAATAAACAAAACTGAACTTTTGACCTTCCCCTCCCAACACTCCCACAGTTTTTCAGATCTAAGTTAATGACTTATTTACTCTTCCAGCTTTTTATGTGAAAGCCCTTGATATTATCCTTACTTCTATCTTTGCCTTTCACCCTACACACAGTTCACTCAGGTGATCTTTATAGCCTGTAAGTCTTTATGGCCTGGATTATTTCAATACCTCCTTGCTTGGTTTTTGAACCACTACTTCTACTTTTGCTCAACACAGTCAGAGTGAGCCTATTAAAATGTAAAATTAATTGTGTCACTGCTCAAAACTTTTCAATGGCATCCTACTTCACTTAGAATAAAAAGCCAAGTTCTTGCAGTACCTACAAGACTCACTATGATCCAGCCTCCTGTTACTTCTAACATGAACCCTTGAGATCGAGGATATAAGTGGCCACAAAGCCCATGTTCTCACAGAGGTGCACCCAAAGATCATGATTTTAGCTGCCCTCATGGAGTGAAGAACCTGGCAGGTCAGAGAAAGCCAGACAACGGGACTGCTGCTTTTTTACTGATGACTGGGTGAGAGGTCATGACAACGTGCCTGGGACTGTCACTATACTACCGTTGAATGCTTCCACCTTTTGTTTATGAATTACATCATCAGGTTCACTTAAGATGATTTCAGTGCAGCAGGCTGGGCCATGCTCACCATATTCATCAATAAAAGAAAGGACAGATAACTATTGTTTTATCCATTGTATCAGGCAATGCGCAACCAGAAAAATAGAATCCACACTGGTTATTTTAAGAGAATGTAATACTGGGTTTTGGTTACACAGGTATTTGATGAATGAAAGACAAAAAAAACTAAAAACTAAAAGGAACACTGGGTTAACACAGCAACTACAGAAAGCAGCTACCATTTCTGGTATTTGTAAACAAAAGGAAGAGGAGGGTGTTAGAAGCCAGCTTTCCAGAGGACCCTGGGGAGCTAAGGCTCAGCCCCCTGAGGAGAGGGCCCTCTCCAGCTGGTGCTGATGAACCAAGTCCTCAGAAGAGGACCCATGTAGCTGGGACTCAAATCTCTTGAGGAGGCACGTGCTGGTGCTGGTATGTTTGAAGGAGGACAATGACTTTGGCTGTGAGAGTATGGGAAAAACGGAAAACTAGAACCAAGTGCTACTGGACCAAAATAGTGCTATTAGGTACAAACACTGCTGAGGAGACAACACTGATAGGTGAGCAAGCAGAAAGGAGTAAGCCTTTTCTCTCTTCTTCTATTCTTCCGTATTCCTCTGGCGCTCCCCTATTGGAGAACTGACAGGGAGTCATCTGGCAAAGAAGTATGTTTGCCTAAACCCAGCCCCAGAATCACAAAGAATACAGAAGGGTGGGTTGGCTTCTTAATAGCTTAATAACTGACACATTCATATAATTGTACATCATATAGCAGTGAAAATGCATGAAATAGAGCAATGCTTATTTACATGGATTAAGTTTGCAGTGTTCAATATAAAAATAAGAACTATGCAGAATGTTATGTATAATTTGATACCATATATATACACACAAAAACAAAATAGTAATAAGTAGGGCTATGTACATATGTAATAAACTACCAAGACATCCTGGGAATGATCTAGAAAAATATTAGGATGTTGATTTCCTCTGGTGGAAGAAAACAGGGAAAGGAGGAGAATGTGATCAGAGGACGATACAAAAGATGCCACTCTATTCATAACCTGTTATTGTACAACTGAGCAGTGGGTACACAGATGACTAATATGCAATCCTTTACACATATCTGTATGTGGGGAACATTTTCATAATAATTTAAAAATAATTTTGAATATGCATTTGTTTTTTTAATAAGTTCTGTTTCATAAGGAAACTCCATAGGGCTTTGCAATTTCTAAGCCCCAGGCAGGCTCTCTCTTTGAGCCCAGCATGGCTTGCCTCCTCTCTTTTTCCTCCACTTGACATTGTCTTCTATGGAGCAACTGCCACCCACTGTTTTTTAGGTTCATTGCCTACTGCATTTTATTTTTTAAAAAAATATATTTCTTTGTTGATATCAGAGAGGAAAGGAGAAGGAGAGAGAAACAGAAACATCAATGATGAGAGAGAATCATTGATCGGCTGCCTCCTGCATGCCCCCCACTGGGGATCGAGCCCGCAACCCAGGCATGTGTCCTTGGCTGGAATTGAACCTGGGACCCTTCAGTCCACAGGCTGATGCTCTATCCACTGAGCCAAGCCGGCTAGGGCTGCCTATTGCATTTTAATAGAAGATTCAAGTTTAATCTATAAGGAGTATATATACAATATATAAAAACAAAGCATAAACGCCTCAATTGTGATATTTTAATGTGCAAGTATTAGGCTTAAAATAATTTTGGAGATATGAAATCTAAAAAATTCTGAAAGTTTATTTCCTTAATTTTAAGAATATTTGCATTAAATGATCTGTAACAAATACACTGTATTTGGAGTAGCAATATATATATATATATATATATATATATATATATATATATATATATAATTTTTTAAAGCAGACTACCCAATGCTGAAAACAGTGTTACTATTAACAGTCATGACCTTTGTCTTATGGGATTTGGAGCCTGTTAAATTATACCACAGCCTTCAGGTGAGATAGTTCAAGGCTATGAATGCCCTGAGTCAGGTCTCCTTTGATATGAACCTGAACTAGCTCTCATTGCTTCTAGAACATCTCAAAACAACTTTCATTGTGAAGATAAACTTCAATATTACCATCTGATTGGGAAGCAAATTTCCCCCTAATCATTAGCACAGAAAAGTAGGTGAATGCAAATTGTCTTTAATGTTAAATGGAATTCAGTCATAAGACTCTCTGTTATCAAAGGCCACAACTCTGCTTACAATGACCCTGAAGCTCTCACTCTGCCCCTCATGCACACTAGCACACACAAGGTCACAGCAAATACGGTTAGAGCTAAGATTTGATCCTCCTTTATCTGACCTAAGTACCAGGGGGCAAAATTACCATAATACTTAAAAATAATTCAAGATGAGAAATGTACATATTTGGAAATCATTGGTCTATACCAGTAATGGCAAACCTTTTGAGCTCGGCGTGTCAGCATTTTGAAAAACCCTAACTTAACTCTGGTGCCGTGTCACATATAGAATTTTTTTTATATTTGAAACCATAGTAAAACAAAGATTTATATTTTTGATACTTATTTTATACATTTAAATGCCATTTAACAAAGAAAAATCAACCAAAAAAATGAGTTCGCGTGTCACCTCTGACACGCGTGTCATAGGTTCGCCATCACTGGTCTATACCATTGAGATTGTCCTTCAAAGTTTCTTAGTAAACTTGAAAAGCCGATAAACACATTTAGCAAAATATATGCTGCAAAAATAAATATGAAAAAGTGATGTCCTATACCATCATAATATTTGCAAAGTTATGATCATTAAAAAAGTGGCTATTAGCAAGTTAGTTGTTTCCAAATTGCTGATCCCTCCTGAGCTGGAATGTGAGTCCTTAGTGTACCATCTCCCAAAGAGTGACACTGTCAGAATAGGTTCAGAGGGTCCATTCTTGTTTACCAAACGCCCATCTTTTAGTACCTAAAGAAACAGTGGAAAAAGGGTAGTCAGTTTCATGAAAATATGCATTACAAGCAGAATAATATTTTTTAAATAGTCCTATTTTGATTCAGTAGTTCTAGCTTTTCTATTGGTTTCTTATGAGACACTAGACACCTGGTGCATAAAATTTGTGCAGTTGGGGGGTTCCCTCAGCCTGGCCTGCACCCTCTCACAGTCTGGGAGCCCTCAGGAGATGTCTGACTGACAGCTTAGGCCCACTCCCCCACCCCCGCGGGGAGCGGGCCTAAGCTGTCAGTCAGACATCTTTAGCACTGCTGCGGAGGTGGGAGAGGTTCCTGCCAATGCCGCTGTGCTCGCCAGCCATGAGCCTGGCTCAGGGCTTCTGGCTGAGTGGCACTCCCCCTGTGGGAGCACACTGGCCACCAGGAGACAGCTCCTGCATTGAGCATCTGCCTCCCTGGTGGTCAGCGCATGTCATAGCAACCGGTCGTTCTGCCATTCGGTCAATTTGCATATAAGCCTTTTATTATATAGGCTTTTTCCTAAAATACACTACACAATTCACTAGCCACTTAAGCACTGTATACTAAATATATTTGATTAGTCCCTTACACTGGTAGTTCTTACCCATCAAAATCACCTGTGGAAATCTGAAAAAGTACAGGTCCCACCTTCACGAGATTCTGATTTACTGGATCTGAAAAGGGTCCTGATCTCCAGCCCATTGGTACATTGACCTATTCTTCCAATCCTGTGGCCTATTTCTGGCAAGCTTTTCCTCCCAGTGGTTAATGAACTTGGTTAAGATAAACCTTTAATACTAAGAACTTAAAAATGCATCCTGATATTTGTATAATGCTTCCCTGTTCACTAAATGCTTTCACATGAATTATCACATTTGAACCTCACCAAATCAGTGAAAAAGATATTCTATGCCTTTTATGGATAGGAAATTCAGAGGTTAAATTTAACTGACTTGCATGAAGTTCCCTAAAACATTACAGCAAGATATTTCCTACATTTGTGGTTATGGTCAATGACATTTCACATTTTTAGCATAAAACTAGGGGTGGGGAAAGACACACAGCAAATGTGTTGAAATCCCTGCAGAAGTGATCCTATAAGATAATGTGTAAATATTTTCTGAGGAGAGTGCATCAGTCAAGGAAATAGTAGTACTCCAGCAGACATGGCCAGCGTGACTCATATAAAAAACCTGTCTTCTGCCTGGCCAGCATGGCTTAGTGGTTGAGCGTCAACCTATGACCAGGAGATCACAGTTTGATTCTCAGTCAGGGCATATGCCTGGGTTGCAGGCTCAATCCCCAGTGTGGGGTGTGCAGGAGACAGCTGATCAATGATTCTCTCTCATGATTGATGTTTCTATCTCTCTCTCCCTCTTTCTTCCTCTCTGAAATATATATATAAAATATATATATATATATATATATATATATATATATATATATATATATATGCAAACCTATCTTCTGATCACTCTAAAAACAATGTTAACAGAAGGGCCATGACTTGAAAGGTCTCTAGGAAAATAATTTTTTTTAATCAAGATTTGATTTTGGTTTATTTGGCCTTTTTGAAGAAAGTAAGCACCCAGATTCAATGTGGTCTCAGATAACCAGCCCTGCAGAGGAGAAGCACCTTATCTTAGGCTTGCAAAGCTTTATGATAATCTGTTCCATGAATACCCAATCCCTTTTGTTTTAATCCTGTGCTCACAAAACAAACTTCTGATCCATAGCTTCAGTGTTTGAGAGGACTTGCCAATGGATAGCCTTCTTGAGGCAAAAGTTATTTTTCTCCAGGTAAGTGAATCTATTTTTAAAAGTAATAAATTGGTCCTCTCTGTTGTCATCTTGTGAGTTTGGTTAGTGTCTGCTCATTAGAATATGATGAACTTCAGGGTAAGTAATGCCATAGCGAATCTCTACTTGAGAAATGAAGACCAGTACTCTGGCCATGGAGCTCCCTCCAAGCATTGTTACACCAAAACCCTGCCTCCCAGCTGGCAAGTGCATCTTTTATATCTTTTTGATGTAAACTATATCTTATTTCTTCTTTCAACAAATAAGCTGGAGAAGATGAGACATGATCCAAATGATAAATGTACCATAAAGTACCCAACTTAAAGGATAGTGCAACTCCTTCCTTCCTCCCTCCCTCTCTCCTTCCCTCCCTCCCTTTCTTCCTTCCTTCCTTCCTTCCTTCCTTCCTTCCTTCCTTCCTTCCTTCCTTCCTTCCTTCCTTCCTTCCTTCCTTCCTCCCTCCCTCCCTCCCTCCCTCCCTCCCTTCCTTACACGCTTCCATGAAAGAATGAAGGGCCAGTGCCCAGGCATGGGAGACAGTGTGACAAGTTCTGAGAATTGTTGAGTTGAGACCTACAAATAATATACTGTTAAGCATTTAACTATTTGCTCTCTTGTATCACTCTCTAATTGTTGTTCCCAGCTACCTAAAACCATTTGGGGTCTTTTTTTTTTTTAAAGTAAGACAAACAAAGTAAATAACTATGTCCTAGTTTCTTCATGCTCTCCACCCCCTCATCAACTACCACTATCCAACTTCTCCAAATACCAACATGGTTCAGAGTGAAAGTAAAATGGCATTTCTGGCTCAGGACTTATTTTAAAAATGATTTTTAGAGATAGGGAGGGAGGGAGGGAGGGAGGGAGGGAAGGAGGGAGGGAGGATAGATATCAATGTGAGAAAGAAACATCGATTGGTTGCCTCCCACACATGCTCTGGCTGGGGATCAAACTCACACTCTGGATACCAAATCCGCCCACCACCTTTTGGTGTACCAGACAATGCTCCAATTGGACCACCAGTCAGGGCTCTGGTTCTGGACTTGTAATCTGGTCTGGAAAACTCCATAAGTTTTTTGTCTTTCTCCGTAAATGTGATGCTTTTGTGACCTAAGTGCTCAGTCTCACTCTAGGGTAATTTCTCAATGAGACAGATACATTTCTACAAGTACATCACAAGCGGGGAGGTGGATAATATCAAAGTACTACCCAGAATACTAGAGATTAGATTGTGTGTTCAGTTTACATGGCAGGGATTATGAGAATACAGGGCCCCCATACTACCTGACCCCTGATCTGTATGAACCCTGCTCTCCTTTCTCTCACTTGAAGTGGCCTCACATATTTTCAATTCATCTATACTTATTTGTGCCAGCCTGGCCACCTTTGAACTGCTAGATTACAGTTCCAGAGCCCTCACTTCATATCTGATTATAATTTTCTGTACTTGGCATTTAAGCTTTTATTCCAGCTTCATTTGCTTATGAGATTCTACCTAACCAGGTTGTAAGGCAACCAAGGATTCCCGTTCCCTGGGTTTCTCAGCTTTAAGAGAAACCATTCTGTTGGTTTCATAGAATTAAATATTTTTATAAATATGATATATCCAAATCTGATAATACAGGCAGGCATGACCATCAGCAATCTGCATTTTAAAGACTTTCTTGCTTAATGCTTTAGGTGAATTAATGTAGATCTTATTTTTCTTATAAAAAAATGCAGTGACTGTACCCTAGTTACTGTAATCCTGCCTCTGTTTGCCACAACTCAGAGAAGACATGAAGGTTCAAACTGGTTGAGTGTGTGTGGACTAGCAGATAAAAACCTACAGTCTTAATTCTAATTTGAGACCAGCTTAATTTATAAATTAATTTGGTTATAGCCACTATAATTTGTAAAATAAATATCTGATTTTACATTTGTTTCCACATGGAACAAAAGGACATTGAAAATCTGTAAACAAATATTTTTCAACAAATGGGGCCTTGAGCTCACAGGTTCTAGGTATCTTATCATGTTATTCCAACCAAGTGTCATCACTTTAGAATTACTTGCTGTAAATGTAAAAATGGCCCAGATATTTCCTCCTCCTTTATGCATGCCCTTCTGCAATGTGATTTTACAGCTCTATCCATTGAGAGATCTGTATCATTTATTTCTCTAACCTTTGAAACTACTTTGGGCATGTGACTTGCTTTAGCTAATGAGACATTCACAAACATGGTGTAAGCAGAGACTTGAGGAAAACTTGCCCATTGTGGCTTTCCCTCTTGATGCTCTTGGACTCCTTCAAGTCCAAGCTTGCTGGAAGAGGAGAGAACACAGGGAGAGAGTGACCCCAATCATTCCAGCTGTCTAAGACAAGGGCATCACAAACCAGCCCAATCACCAGCTAGTGGCAGATGCATGAATGAGCCCAGCCAAGATCAGCAAAGCCTGTTCCAAACCAGAACAGCCTAGCTACAGTCAGTTCACAGAGTCAACCACAAAGTACCAGCTAAAAAATGGTTATTATCTAAAGCCATTAAGGTCTGAGGAAGTTGGCTACACAGTAAAATTTAAGTGATACAGTTGCCATAACCTATTTTGCTTGGCTTCAGAGAACAGATAAAATAAAAATATTCTTCAAGTCCTCCTACCTCAAATTTTCCAGGTGACAGTTGAACTTTAGTAAGTAGCACTTCAGGAAAAACATACTCTGTTCTGAATGTACCACTTAGGGAGAATATGTCAAACCTTGTCAAAGCTGTTTCTACCGGTTGTCCACAAGTTGTCAGATTAGTCGTTTTGCATTTCAGCATGGTGCATACCTATGTAGAACAGATGTAGATAAAATGCAATGCCTTACATCTTACTTGTACTAGAATGGTTGACTCAGTTTATAACTATAGCAAAGTAACTATTTCCTCATTTGATAAAAGATTTGGATCATGTTTCTTATTATTAACAGCTTTATTGGAAAGGGCCAATGATTTGAGAGCCAAGCCTGGGCAACAAATGGATGGAAAGAAAGAAGTCAGTTTAGAATTAGACCTAAACCATTAGTTTGGCGCATCAGATTATTAGTTGGCCCAAGAGAGTAGAGATCTCTCTGCAACAGTAGTACTAAAGCTAATATGATGTTTAAAATTTTGACCATCCCTTTTCCTCCATATCTTTTGTATAAGAGAGGGCAGTGGGATACAGAGTATAATGAGAAACAAATGCATAGGCAATACTATATGAAAGTTTGAATTTTAAATATTTGTCATTGGAAAGAAATAAAATGAAAAAACATCTGATAACAAGAGAGACTAAGATCAAAGTGATATCCCTACTCAATGTTGACTTTAAAAGTTAAAACAAAACTGTTTATATTCAAATACATTGGAAAAACTACATAAGAAAGCTTTATTGAGGTTCACTATAATATGTAAACTAGTTCATTAGTCAAATAGAAAATCATCATGGTCAGGTTAATAAATATTCTCTTAAACTAGAGTAGCCATGGGCAAACTATGGCCCGCGGGCCAGATTCGGCCCGTTTGAAATGAATAAAACTGAAAAAAAAAAGACCGTACTGCTGGGGTCCAGCCCCAGCGGGTCCAGGGGTCCCCAAAGGTGTGGACGGAGTCGGCGAAGAAGGAATGACATGGAGGCAGCGTTCAGTTGATCAGCAGCCTAGCCAGGATCTCTAGCCAGGATCTCCAGCCAAGTTCTGGTCTGGATCTCCAGCGAAGTTCTGGTTAGGATCTCCAGCCAGGTTCTGTGTCCATGTTCTCTTGCTAGGTTCTCCAGCCAGGTTCAGTCACCAGGTTCTCTTGCCCATTTCTGTAGTCAGGTTCAGTCCAGGATCTTTTGCCATGTTCTCTCCAGCGAAGTTCTTCTGTCTCTAGTTCTGTGTTCTAAGCTCTGTATTCTAAGTTCTGTGTTCTAAGTTCTGTATTCTAAGTTCTGTCTCTTGCTGTCTAGTTACATCTGTATTTATACCAGTTGATTCAATCCTATCAATCTCTATTACAAAGGTTAGGGCGTTTCTTATCTCCATTCCAGGGAGTAAAGATTATGTAGCTTAAGCATGATTGTTCGTAGTTAAAGTGATTAATTACCCGCCTGGCACTTAGTTAAGAGGTTTTATTCCCTCCCTAACTTCAGGGGAAAATCCCTACCTGGGGAAACAACCTTTCTCAGAGAGGAGACCTTGGTTAAAACACATAGTGCCAAGAAGGTGAGCAAACATTTTAAGAACAGTATGCCATATATGCCAGGTCCCTTGAAACAGCAAGGATGGACCAGCTCCCGGCAAATTCCCCCTTTTTTATTTTTTAAAAGCAGGCATTAAAAAGAAAAACCCCAAATGCTCTCTTGTATCCATTTTAAGAGTAGGATTGGCGCTTTCCGCTATTACCTGAATCCTGATCTATCACCCCAGGGAGAGCTTGCCAATCCTGCACTTTCCCGGGGTGGAAAGGCTGCAGTGGGGTTAAGGATAAGGCTCCTTGGGCCTACCTTCTCCCATGCCATTACATTTACCTTTCCTTCCTCAGAAAAGCATGGACATACTTCTTGCATAAAACGTTCTGACTAGGAGTAACCTTAATTCCTCTGCTACCAAGCATATGTGTTAAAAGATCAATACAGAGTCTTATTTCTTTAGACTCAGTATGGCACATCTTCTTAATCTAAAGATCAATACAGAGTCTTCTTTCTTTGGACTCAGTATGGCACATCTTCTCAATCTAAGTTCTGTACTATCCACCTTCTTACCCTACTTATCCTCTATAGGGGGGTCTGCAGTACCCTGGTGGAGTCCTATCCGTCCCGAGTGTGGGGTTCTCAATGGGGAGGGCTTACCTAGGGGAATCCTGTTCCAGGGGTTCCCAAAGGTGTGGACGGAGTCGGCGAAGACTATCCACCCTCTTCCTACGGTGGAGTCCTATCCATCCCGAGAGTAGGGCTTACCTAGGGGTCCCTGTTCGGGCGCCATTTGCTGGGGTCCAACCCCAGCAGGTCCAGGGGTCCCCAAAGGTGTGGACGGAGTCGGCGAAGAAGGAATGACATAGAGGCAGCATTCAGTTCATCAGCGGCCTAGCTAGGATCTCTAGCCAAGTTCTGGTCAGGATCTCCAGAGAGGTTCTGCTCAGGATCTCCAGCCAGGTTCTGTGTCCATATTCTCTTGCTAGGTTCTCCAGCCAGGTTCTGTAGCCATGTTCCTTCACTAGGTTCTTCAGCCAGGTTCTGTCCAGGCTCTCCAGCCAGGTTCAGTCATCAGGTTCTAGTCAGGTTCTCTTGCCCATTTCTGTAGTCAGGTTCAGTCCAGGATCTTTTGCCATGTTCTCTCCAGCGAAGTTCTTCTGTCTCTAGTTCTGTGTTCTAAGCTCTGTATTCTAAGTTCTGTGTTCTAAGTTCTGTATTCTAAGTTCTGTCTCTTGCTGTCTAGTTACATCTGTATTTATACCAGTTGATTCAATCCTATCAATCTCTATTACAAAGGTTAGGGCGTTTCTTATCTCCATTCCAGGGAGTAAAGATTATGTAGCTTAAGCATGATTGTTCGTAGTTAAAGTGATTAATTACCCGCCTGGCACTTAGTTAAGAGGTTTTATTCCCTCCCTAACTTCAGGGGAAAATCCCTACCTGGGGAAACAACCTTTCTCAGAGAGGAGACCTTGGTTAAAACACATAGTGCCAAGAAGGTGAGCAAACATTTTAAGAACAGTATGCCATATATGCCAGGTCCCTTGAAACAGCAAGGATGGACCAGCTCCTGGCACCGTACCCTTTTATGTAATGATGTTTACTTTGAATTTATATTAGTTCACACAAACACTCCATCCATGCTTTTGTTCCGGCCCTCCGGTCCAGTTTAAGAACCCATTGTGGCCCTCGAGTCAAAAAGTTTGCCCACCCCTGAACTAGAGGCCCGTTGCAGGAGGATTCCTGCAAGAATAGGGCTTCGCTCCCATCTCTGCGGCTCCTACCCCGCCCATCTCTGCCGCTTCTCTCCCGCCCGTCTCTGCTACCTCAGCTCCTTTGCTTGGCTTCCTTCTACGGTGTCTTCAGTCTTCACTCCCAGCCAGTACATGCAAATTAGCCACCATCTTTGTTGGCGGTTAATTTGCACATCATGCTGATTAGCCAATGGGAAGCGTAGCGCAGGTACGGTCAATTACCGTGTTTGTCTATTATTAGATAGGATGTACTTTAAGCAAGCAATCCAATTACAGTTAACTTCTATTGCAAATATCATTTTTACTCCTAGCATGTGTGTGTGTGTGTGTGTGTGTGTGTGTTTGCGCGCATGTGTAATACTGTATTGGCAATGTGTGGAGTCATGCAGAGAAAAAGCACTTGGCTCCCTGGGGCAAACATGGAAGGCGAACCCTATAACTTACTGATACCTAAGTGCTCCCTTTCACCTGAGCTGAGATTACCTGCCAGTACTCTCTTCTCCTTCGGCCGTGAAGTCCTGTGAAAGCTCCTAGAACATACACTTCATTCTCTTCTTTTCTTAACATTCTGTAGCTTAAATGACAGCAGAGATCTTTGTGACAGACTGTAAGATTTCCTGCATTTTCAAAAAGTGCTGTGAAGTTGAATGCATCTCGGGAAATAAACCCACTGAAAGTATTTTTCTGGACTGGGAATGGTTTGATGTTTGTGGCATAGGCACTCCAGTCCACAGCTGTGGGGTAGGCAGGAGAGGTTCGGGGACGCGAATCTGCTTCTGAAAGAAGGAGCCTTCCCGAGTCTGTTTCCATATCATAATGGTATGCTCGGGGCGAATGTGGTGCATAAATACCACTGCCTGCGAATGGAAAAAGAGTGTTTTTAATACAAAACCAACACTGCCAGTTTCCCCATCAGAACTGAGCACATGGTCACATCACCACGTTGGTCCCAACGAGACAGCACACAGGCTTCTAGTTACAGGGAACACCCAAGCGCTTCTCCTGTTCTCTACTGAGGGAGTATAATAGACGTTTGATGTCTGGTGTCAAATAAACTTTGACTGTAACAGGAATGTTTATGAGCATTGTGGAAAATGAAAAGCAATATAAAAGTCTTTGTATTTGGGAGTACATGAAAGGTAGGGAACGGTAATACAAAATTCTCTCCCGGTCCCCACTATGCTGGTGTTTCCATATCACTCCCAAATTTTTCAACACTCTTCTCTCCAATGGGTAGGTCTAACTCCTTTCCCTTTGAGTGCAGGCTGGACTTTGCAACTCACTTCTAATGAATGGAACACGGCAGAAGTGACGGTGATTAATAAAAACAGCAGTGCAGCTCCCGCTCTCTCTCACTCACTCTTTCTCTATCTATCTATCTATCTATCTATCTATCTATCTATCTATCTATCTATCTATCTATCTATCTATCTATCTATCTATCTATCATCGATCTAAAGAAAGTCAGCTGCCATGTCATGAGGATACATCACAAAGCCTATGGAAAGGCCCAAGTGGCAAGTAATGAAGGTCTCCTGCCCATATTCCCTGAGGAACTAAGGCAGTGGTTCTCAACCTTCTGGCCCTTTAAATACAGTTCCTCATGTTGTGACCCAACCATAAAATTATTTTCGTTGCTACTTCATAACTGTAATGTTGCTACTGTTATGAATCGTAATGTAAATATCTGATATGCAGGATGGTCTTAGGAGACCCCTGTGAAAGGGTTGCTCGATCGCCAAAGGGGTCGCGACCCACAGGTTGAGAACCGCTGAACTAAGGGATCCTGCCTATACAGCCACGTGAGGCAGCCCTCCTGGAAACAGGCCTGCCAGCCCCACTCAAGGCTTCAGATGACCATTAGCCCAGCTAAGGGCTTGACGTAACCCAAGGAGATAGTCTGAGCCAGGATCCCCCAGTTAAGCTAGTCCAAAGGTGAGATAATAAATGTTTGTCGTTTTAAGCTACTTTTTACTGTGAAGGTAAATTGTTCCAAACAACATACCAATTAATACGCTCCTCTGTCCTTTGCCAATGTTTGAGCAAATCATGTTTACTTCCATGCTTTGCCACTCACTAGCTCATGGGTCCTCAAACTTTTTAACAGGGGGCCAGTTCACTGTCCCTCAGACCATTGGAGGGCCGGACTATAGTTTAAAAGAAAAACTATGAACAAATTCCTATGCACACTGCACATACCTTATTTTGAAGTAAAAAAAAAACAAATGTTTTCGGCAGGCCGCATGTGTCCCACGGGCCGTAGTTTGAGGACCCCTGCACTAGCTGGTAGCCTTTGGCAAGCTACTTGCATGCTCTGTGTCTCAGGCTTCTAATCTATAAAAGTGGATGGTAGTACTCATCTCTCAGAGTTGTTGTGAGGATAAAGAAATAATGCACAGAAAGGTCTTAATGTAACCATAGCTGCTCAAATCAGTCACTAGGGCCCTAGACTGTTTGGCTTAGTGGGTAGCATCAGCCTGCGGACTGAAGGGTCCCGGGTTCGATTCTAGTCAAGGGCACATGCCTGGGTTGTAGGCTTGATCTCCAGTTGGGGGTGTTGGGGGTATGCAGGAGGCAGCCAATCGGTGATTCTCTCTCATCATTGATGTTTTTATCTCTCTCTCTCCCTTCCTTTCTGAAATAAATTTTAAAAAAATATTTTTTCTTTATTGATTAAGATATTACATATGTGTCCTTATCCCCCCATTGCCCCCCCATCCTCCCACTCATGCCTTCACTCTCCTGGTATCTGTGTCCATTGGTTAGGCTTATATGCATGCATACAAGTTCTTTGGTTGATCTCTCCCAAAAATATGTTTTTTAAAAATCAGTCACTAGGCTTTGAGTGTATGTGTGAAAAGTTGAAAAATATAGTGGTTAGCCCCATAAAGCAGCAAAAAGTTATGACAGCTCACATCTGAGGCATTAGCTTCTCTGCATTTAGAAGTATTATCTGCAAACCTCATCTGGTCATAAATTACCTGTCATATTTTGTTGCACATGGTGTATATTTGCCGCAAGAAGATTAACTCTCATGCCCATAGCCCAAGCTGAGTGGAATTCAATAGCTGTCAATAGGGGCAAAACATTCATCCACGCTGTGGGATACAGTATGGTGTCCACATGGAAGTCTTTCACCAGGGCCACAGCAGGGTCGTGGAAGAGTATATCGAAGCATGTGAAAATGCCAAACCTTCCGAAGGTGGTGTCGAAAGTCACCAGCTCTGGCTTTTCAGGGACATCAAACTGAGGCTCAGAGTAGAGGTGGTACTGTAACAAATGCATAAGACAAAACCAGGAAAAGCTTCTTTACTGAAGAGATGACTTGTTAAAAAAAAAAAAAAAACCCTCCAAAGTTAGTAATAGATTTGGTTATGGTCAACAACTGAGACTCTATAGGCAGTGAATGAGACTGGTTATTGGAAGTAAAAGGCCAAGGTAAAGGAATACAATATCCCCTCCCCAACCCCAGCCTGCCCAAATTAGAAAACAGATAGCTTTCCATAAATTATAGGTTATGACTTTCTTAAAAGCTGAAGAAGCTTTTTTAACGTTTTTAGGTGTCAGGGATCCAAAGAAGAATGCTATTATTGAAGCCCTGACCCCTAGAAACATAATAGATGCACAATAAGCATCTGTTCAGTGGATGAGGGATGCTACCTCCCTCTTTATAGTGTCCCATCCAAAATAATTTCAGAACTTTCAAAATTGCTGAAATTATAAATGAAAAGAAGTTGTCAAAACCCACAAAATGAAGGAAACTGTAAGGAAGCTGTTTGAAAGTTATGTGATTGTTTTATATATTTATTTATTTACTTACTTACTTATTTTTGTTTTGTTTTTTTAATCCTCACCCAAGGATATTTTTCCATTGATTTTTAGGGATTACGAAAAAGAATGGGAAAGACAGAGAGAAATATCGATGTGAGAGAAACACGTCAATGGGTTGCCTTCTGCAGGAGCCCCCACCACGGCCTGGACCAGGGAAGAGCCTGCAACCGAGGGACATACCCTTGACCAGAATTGAACCTGGGACCCTTCGGTCTGCAGGCCAACGCTCCATCTACTGAGCCAAACCACTAGGACTGTGTTTTATTTAGAAATAGAAAAATAAATATACAATTTTTTTTCTGTAGCCGTATGTGATCAAAAGCATTGAAAAACAATTGGGTTAATATCACTCCTTACATTTCAACTGGGACTTCCAGCAGATTATTTCTCCACTCAAAAGATTCTGGGTGGCGAAATTGTTAAAAGATACAATTTAAGATGCTTAGAAAAAGTGTGGGTGGGTGTGGAAGAGGATGTACACACTGACATGCATATCCCATATCCACTTAGAAGGCTGGCTCTCTCCCTGCCAATTTGGTATAAAATTGTGGCTAAAGGTTATTCTGCTCTTTTAATTCAGAGTTTAAAGTAAAAATTTTCTGATCTAACCTTAAATTCATAAGAGGGTAATTCAGTTAACTGGTATGAAAAATAAAGGGAAAGATAGTTTTTGTAATTTGAGAGAAAACAGGAAAATTAACTTCTGTAAAACTCATTCATGCAATTTGGAAACATCTTTATATCATTCAGTATTAAATGGTATCCAGACCGCAGTCACCTTGGTATCCTTTGAACTAATATTAAAATTACGTTTTTATACCCAGAATGATTTATCTCAATCATGGACTATTGCAACATCTTTCTCATAGCTCTTTGCCTACAGTTTTTTCCCAGATTAGTTTTTTCTAAAATGTGACTTTCTTTAGTATTTGCCTTAACAAAAAATCTCTAGTAACATCATATATGGGGAATAAAGCTCAAAATACTTAACACAGCATCCATCCCCCTCATAACAGTCATCATTCTACATACCCACCCTCTCTTACCTTGTGGTAACGTGCCACCAACTGTCCCTTTGCATCATACACCACGTTGGTATTGTACTGATAATAGCCATTAGGAGGACATGTGGAGTCCTGAGAATTACATCGCTTTTTGTCCCCAATATTTGCCAAGACATAGATAGAGTTGTTCTTGGCCAGGCAGCTGAGTCTTGTTTGTATGGGTGTGTGACCAAATCTAAATCAAATTTTAATGAAGAGATTTTAATAAGTCAGACAGAGAAAGACAAATACTGTATAATATCACTTATTTGTGGAATATAAAAAGACTGAATTCAAAGAAAAAGAGTAGAATAGTGGTTACCAGGGGCCAGAAGATAGGGGAATTGAGAATATGTGGTTTAAGAGTACAAACTTGCAACTACTAGGTAAATAAGTCTTGAAGGTCTAATGCACAGCATACAGATAATAATATTGTAGTATAGACTTTTAAAGTTGCTTAGAGACTAGATCTTTTTTTAAAAAACTATACATTTTATTGATTTTTTACAGAAAGGAAGGGAGAGGGATAGAGAGTTAGAAACATCGATGAGAGAGAAGCATTGATCAGCTGCCTCCTGCACACCCCCTACTGGGGTTGTGCCCGCAACCAAGGTCCCAGGATCCTTCAGTCCACAGGCTGACGCTCTATCCACTGAGCCAAACCGGTCAGGGTGAGACTAGATTTTAATTGTCCTTACCACAACAAGAAATGATAGTTATATGACATGATAGAGGGATTAACTGGAGCTATGGTGGTAATCATATTGCAATATATAAACATATCAATTTAACACATGATACACCTTAAATTTACACAATGTTATATGCCAATTATATCGCAATAAAAAAGGCATTTCAACTTTAAAAAGTATTTAGTTACTTCATATATAAACAATAATAACAATAGGACAGATAGATGGTCGATAGATATATGAAAAAATGCTCAACATCACTAATCATCAGAGAATTAACACCACAATGAGATTCACTTCACACCTGCCAGAATGGCTACCATCAATAAGTCAATAAGCAACCACTGCTGGCGAGCATATGGAGAAAGGGGAATCCTTGCGCACTGCTGGTGGGAATGCAGACTGGGGTAGCCACTGTGGGCAACAGTATGGAGATTCCTCAAAAAATTAAAAATAAAACTTCCTTTTGATCCAGTGATCCCACTTCTGGGAATAGATCCTAAGAATCCCAAAACACCAATTCTAAAGAATACATGCACTCCTCTGTTTATAGCAGCATTATTTACAATTACCAAGATCTGGAAACAGCCCAAGTGCCCATCAGTGGATGACTGGATAAAAAAGCTAGGGTACATTTATACAATGGAATAGTACATGGCCTTAAAAAGAGGGAAATCTGCCCTAGCTGGTTTGGCTCAGTAAATAGGGTGCAGGCCTGCAGACTCAAAGGGTCCTGGGTTTGATTCCTGGGTTAAATTCCTGAGTTCAATTCTGGTCAAGGGCATGTACCCAGGTTGCGGGCTCAATCCCTGGTGGGAGCTGGGCAGGAGGCAGCCAATGATCAATGATTCTCTCTCATCATTGATGTTTCCATCTCTCTCTCCCTCTCCCTTCTTCTCTGAAATCAATAAAAAAATATTTTTAAAAAATGGTTGAATGAATGAAAAGATTAATTACTTAAATTTGACTATATCTGATGATAATGCAAGCCAATTTTCTGTCAAAATGTTTTTCTTCTACTGTAGGGCTATGAAAGAGGCACTTACTAACCATATGGAAGAACCTGTCCCCCAACATTTACTAGTTCCCATAGTTACTGTGACCTTTGACTCATCCATACATTTGCATCATATGTTGTTTTTAACAGGAAATCCAGAACTCAATCATACTATGAGATTAAAAATAAATGGGCCATCCCAATTCCCAAAACTTCTATGCAGAAAGACTGTCCATCTATTGGCCTCTTTTTTACATGAAATAAAATTTCTTACAAACACCATAGAGAAATCAGCTCAGGACAGGAAGGGTGGGAAGAGGAAATTGTCCGAGGTCATGTAACCCAATATTCTCTCTCTCTCTCTCTCTTTTCTTTTTTCTTTTTCTTTCTTTCTTTTCTTTTTTTTTTTTTTTTTTTTGTGTGTGTGTGTAGTTAATCTCCCTAGAGCAAAGAAAAGCCCTTTCCTGGTAGTCCTTATATAAATGTCAGAATAACCAGGAGTGCCTAAAGAAGTTTGGTAGCTATAATCCTCCAGCAAAAATATGGCCGAGGAATGTTACATAAACTTCATTTGAGGTAAAAGAATGAGAGAGTATGAGAGGGCAACAGAGTGAGAGGATCTGAGAGATGAGTAAGAATAAGTGGGATAGAGTGAGAGACCTTTCCCTGAAAGGTTTGAAGTGTACAATCTGTACCTCAATAACCTCTAAGTCTTATTAGGAAGTAGGATTTGTATATTAAACATACATCCATGTCTATTAAATATATTGCATTAGATTCCTAGATTACATTCCTAGATTACTTCTTCTCAGGAAAATTACCTTTATGAGCCTAGGAACATGCAAAGTTTCATAGCATAAGTCTTATGATTCACTAGAGCAGTGGTTCTCAACCTTCTGGCCCTTTAAATACAGTTCCTCATGTTGTGACCCAACCATAAAATTATTTTTGTTGCTACTTCATAACTGTAATGTTGCTACTGTTATGAATTGTAATGTAAATATCTGATATGCAGGATGGTCTTAGGCGACCCCTGTGAAAGTGTCGTTCGACTGCCAAAGGGGTCGCGACCCACAGGTTGAGAACCGCTGCACTTGAGAGTACACAGTGAGGTCTTTCTGCCTGAGAAGCAGATTCCAATACAAATGCAACATGGTACCTTTAAATAGAGACATGGAAATATTTTCTAAACACAACCCACTGCCCACTTCATAAATTAATTTACTACTTGTATCCATGAGATCCTCTCCCCCTTTATCAGCAGTCCTACTTAGAAATGTCCTAAATTTTCTCTAAATTAAATAAAGATATTAAATGGTATCTAAGCGCAATTTTTTAAATCTAACAAATGCCAAGATAAATATACCAATAACATACCACCAGATACATGATAATTCAGGATTTATCATGTTGTTGTGGTGAACATGTGCATTTTAGAGAATTGCCGCACTTTTGCACAAACAACTAGGATAGAGACAATACCTTTGGGGGTCTCGACATGGAATCCAGTCCACCTGAGGGTCTGGGATATCCTCCAGATAAGGGAAAATGGTTTCCCTGGTAAATTTCCATCCATAAAGTGCATCTTCTGGAGTCACAATAATTTGAGCACCCTATTCAAAACAAGTCCAATCAAAAGTATGTCTCCACGTGTAACACAGACAATGCAACACTGCAACCTTCCACCAGATTTCATGTCCCTGCCATGGGTTAAGATTAGTAGATATAAAAGAATACCTGCTCAGCTGCCTGCTTTATCGCTTTCTCCAGAATATCTATATTCTTGTTCATAAGGAGCAAGGCATCGTCCCGAGAAACAGGTGTTTCTGTGCCCTTTGGCCTTAGGACAGCATGTTCATACACGGCAGCTATAAATGTATCCCGGGCACTGACATGCAGGGTAACCAGGGCAAAAACTGCCACAGAGGCTTGAAAGGAGGAAGTGATCATGGCCAAGGTCTAGAGATTTCTGAAAGTGCAAGTAAAATTCCTGTAGCATTTATAAAGGGCGGTGCACGAGTGCTTATTTTATAATCTTATGAATATTATACCCAACCCACTTTTGAGAGGAAAATATTGCCATTAAATGAATACAATAAAAAAGCATTACAAAGATTGTACATCTACTATTGATAAAATTTGATGTCAAATTTCAATAAAAACAAAATTGAAATATAGTACAATTACACCCTTTAAGAGAGAGAAAATTAAAGTAACTCTGATGTAAAAAATAATAATACAACATACCTGCGCGCTCTCTTTCCCAAGGTTAGTCTGAGAGTCCAAGATACATGAAGGCTCTCTGTAAGATTATGATGGGATGACAATTATTAACTCAAACAGTGACAATTTAGTCATGTAATGATCCCAAATGTTTCGTGTGCTTTAGTTGTTAGGCCCACAGAACAACTCTTATTTGAGTAAACAAATCTAGTCTCTTTGGGGTCCTGGGGATGAAATGGGGGCAGAGTACCTGAGATCAACTCCTGGATCTTGCCAAGCAGGACGTGGCAGGTGCCCATCAACCACGAGGTGGAGATACAACAAAAACACCAAGGAACTCAGGATAGTGCGGAGCCGCTTCGAGCCCTGCCTCAGCCTGAAGGACGTCCTCGTCTGGCCTCTCTCCCAGAAATGAAATGACATTAAGTGAGCTGAGAAGTAAAGAGTTGGAAATAGCGTGTACAGCACTGATAGCATTTCCTCATGGCAGCAAGGATGACACATCAGAATAAGAAGCAAGAAAAACCAGGTTCTTCTTTTCAAACTATTCTCTTGATAATTGTATACAAAAAAACAAAAAAGGAAAGAAGAAAAAAGGAAAGAAAGAAAGGGAGAGAGAGAAAGAAAGAAAGAAAGAAAGAAAGAAAGAAAGAAAGAAAGAAAGAAAGAAAGAAAGAAAGAAAGAAAGAAAGAAAGAAAGAAAGAAAGATGATACTATATCTCCAAAAAGGACATAGTGGTAAGAAACAATGTTTTTGTCCCTGTCCCTTTTGGAGGCTTCCATATGTCTTCAAAAGCTTGTTTGAATCTGCCTTTTTGGAAGGAAATGTCTGCTTGAGCAGAACCAGCCTGAACTTTATTCTTTGGTGTCTGGTCTCATGCAAGTGAGACTTGGATGCGCGTTCAACTGCTTGGACAGGACAGCTAATGCAACTAAAACCAAGAGGAAATCGGAGAGTTATGAAATGTCATGCCCCACTGAATGGAAAGGGTTGAGCCACAGGAAGTTGCCAGTAGCCAACTGTTTTTGACCTATGGCCTCTGTGATTTCACGTGGTTCAAACTACCCTCTGCTTTCAGCTCTCAGAAGTTGAGGAGCTGCAAAAGTCCCTTTGAACTGGTAGCATGCTCCCGATTCTTCAAAGGGAAAACAGTAACCAACCCTCTTGCTGACTTTGCTTGCAAACCATTAACTTTAGTTCCCATTCAACTATGCCCAAAGTTCATTGCATTCACCAAAAGGAACTTTTAAAAATTGTTTTGGTCGGTGCTACAGACTGAATGTCTGTGTGCCCCTCCACCCCCCAAACTCATATGTCCAAACCTAATTCTTAGTGTGATGTATTGTGCTAGGGTGAGGGACTGCAGCATGGAAGGGTTATGGAATGTGCTAGGGGAGTGACTGAGGCATGGAAAGGTTACCGATTGTATTAGGGTCCGGGATCGTGGCAGAGAAAAATTGCTAGATTGTCTTAGAAAAACAATGTATTATGATTCAACCCAGCCAGGTGTGACTCCATTTACCTCCCCAAATGCTTTTTAGTGTTGCAGATAAAAGGCTTTGCTGTACCCTCGGTCGGCACTACAAGCTGGAAGGCTTCCAGAGTGGGGAGGGACGCGCTGTAGTCACCTGGCCAGCTTAATAAAGGCTCCTAAATTTAAATTCCGAGTCGGTGGTCTATCTCGCTGATTGAACCCATAACAGTATCAGGAAGTGGGGCCTTTGCAAAATGTTTATGTCATGAGGGAGGAGCCCTCAAGAATGGGACTCCTCCATGATTTGACTCATGCACATAAAACCAGTGGGGAATGAAGTATGGTAGCAATCATCTCCAGTAGAAACTATAGTTTAACTTTAACCCTGCTGTTTAGCTTCTGTACTTATTTGCTTTTAAGTTATTTTGATTTTCTGAATTATATAAATCATCCCATTCGATTAAATACCCTTTTGATTGTAATGTGAGTATCCCATGGGTTGTGGTCATACTGGTCTTAGAAAGCACATTTTCCTTTACCTAGAAAGGACAGCACACTTATCCCAAGGTCAGAGGGCTCCAGTTAACGTGTCCCTGTTGACTCAGTGTTCCGGGGACCCAAAACTATAATTTAGATAACATGCTTAAGTCTGACCAAGTTCCTCATTCCAGACCCGAGGGCTCCAGATAATGTGTTTCTGTCAATTCAGTGATCCAAGAGACCCAAAACTGTAATTCAGATAACATGCTGCTTCTGCTTCTGTAAACTGCTTTTTGCAAATCAGGTTCCTCATTCCAAACCTTGGGATGTAATCAATACCTTTGTGATTTTTGCCTGTATAAGTCTGGTTTTGCGACCATCTTATTACTATGAGATTTGGGGAATGGCCCTTCATAGTCCTGGATTTGCAATAAATATGACTCCTAAAAACAAAAACAAAAAGAATGGGACTCCTTCCCGGCAGGTGTGGCTCAATGGTTGAGCATTCACCAATGAACCAGGAGGTCACGGTTCAATTCCTGGTCAGGCAGGGCACATGCCTGGGTTGCAGGCTTGATCCCCAGTAGGAGGCATGTAGGAGACAGCCAACCAATGATTCTCTCTCATCATTGATATTTCTATCTCTCTCCCCATCTCCCTTCCTCTCTGAAATCAATACAAAAATATATTTAAAATAAAAAAGAAAAGAATGGGATTCTGCCCTTATAAAAGAATCTCTATGGAACTCCTTTGCCCCTTCTTCTATGTGAGAACACAGTGTGAAGTAGGAATCAGGTCCTCACCAGATACTGAATCTGAACCTTGATCTTGGACATCCCAGCCTCCAGAACTATGAGAAATAAATTTCCATTGTTTATTAGATGCCCAGTTTGTAGTATTCCATTACAGCAGCCCACCTGGATTAAGACAGCTGCATTCAAAGATTGTGGCAAAATAAGGATGAGCGCCTTATTTTCAGGACAACAGGAATGAATCCAAAGGAGCAGATCAAAGCCACTTGTTCATTTGTGTTGGCAGTTATAGAAACAAGCACTTGAAAGGATAAAACAATAAAGCTGAAATCCCAGGTACTCCAGAAGGAGAAAAATGAAAAGATAGATTAAAAGTAGAAAAGTGTCAAGCTGTGGGACATTTTTGTTTTTATCAAACAATATGAGGATGTTCAAACATAAAGAAAAGTTCAAAGAGTTTGAGTCAAAGCTGAGGGCCAGACCTGCAATCAAAAATTTCAAAGGATTGAGAAAATGCTCCAAGGAGTAACAGTTTTGTGGTTTAGTTTATATATTAGTAAAATCAAAAGTCTATATGAAAGGCCCTGACCGGTTTGGCTCAGTGGATAGAGCGTCAGCCTGGGACTCAAGGGTCCCAAGTTCGATTCCAGTCAAGGGCATGTACCTTGGTTGCGGGCACATCCCCAGTGTGGGGTGTGCAGGAGGCAGCTGATCGATGTTTCTCTCTCATCGATGTTTCTAACTCTCTATCCCTCTCCCTTCCTCCCTGTAAAAAAATCAATAAAATATATTTAAAAAAAAAAAGATTAAAAAAAGAAAAAAGGACAAAATTAAAAAAAAAAAAAAGTCTATATGGAAGGAAGGTTCTGAAATCCATTGGTGGTAGATAAGGAAGTGGGAGACCGCAAAGCAGGGAAATCTCTAGGACTGAATGAAAAAAAAAAAAATGGAGCGATGCATACTTCTTTTACATTGATGCTGGATAGTTAACACTTAACATACAAGTAACTGTATAGAGGTATGCAGGTAAATGATAACAACTGTATAGAGGTATGCAGGTAAATGTTGGGGTGGTCTGGCCCCGGTACTTCTAAGCTTATTATCCTAGAAGCACAAAAACAATGGAAAAGGCTTGTTCAATGTAAAGATTAATCTATCATATAGGCCTTAGGACATGACTTCCCATGATAACCTACGCAGTTAGGAATTTGTATGAATGGAATATCCTGTGTGGTTACTTTCGGTTCTTGAGTGTGTTAGATCTGCCGGGTAGCCCTGTTTTCATTCATCAGAGCATCACAGTAATTCACCGATTATTCACCTTGTTCATGTTCAATGGGCAAGGATGTAAAAAAGCATGTGACCTAAGATAGGTCACTACTTACAGGTCTGTCTAGGTGAGGCCTTACATCCCTGGATCCTATCTGCTGTCCTCTTTCCAAGGCCGGTGGCTCCTCCTATCACCCCTGACTTCCTGTTTTGGTTTAGTTTCTGGGTGGCCAGCAGCTGGCCTGAGGGTTCTGCTCCCTTAGGCACCAGGAGAGGGAGGATTTGTTTTATCCTAGCCTGGCAACCCTGATTTCTGGGCTTTTCTGTCAAGCAGTCGTAGGGGCTCGGTAACACAGGCCAGGTGGAATTACATGATTGCTACTGAGCAATGTCCAAATGGCCAGGGGAAGTAACAGAGCCAGAGAAGTTAGCCATTTTCTAGCCCTAAGACCTACGTTGACTCTTACACTCACATTCTATTCCTTCTCTTTAGCCCAGTGTTCTTTTATTGTAATGCAAATCCACTCTAGAACTTTCCCCCATGTGGACATGACTAAATTCCTGTATGGCGCTGCATCTAATTACTGATAACTCACATGGCAGGAATTTTTCTCACTTTAGTTATAAGAGTCAGGATGGTATGGAGTGAAGGTTAATGGCATGGGCCCCGAAGCCAGAATGCCTAGGTTTGAATCACTTCCCAGCTGGCTGACTATGAGTAAGTAATGTGACCTCTCAGTACCACAGTTTTCCTCATCTGCCAAAGGTGGTAGTATGTGCTGAATAATTTTTGCTGTTATTTTTGCCTCAAGCCCAGAAGACGGTGGTTCTATTGGAGGACAATGCCCAGGGCAGCTTTGACCCAGGGCTTTAATTCTCTCTGCCCCTGTGCCCACATGTTCTTGGCTACTAATTTGTTTAAAAAAACTTCAACCAGTCCATTGTCTCTGTTTTCTCATTGTTCTCTCTCTTTCCACAAAGCCTTCTGTGTCAATCTGCCCTGACTGGTTTATCCTGAAATTATGAACTGAAAGTCCTTTTCTACCAGCTACTTTTGAATGTTTTCTCTCCAACTGTACCACAGATTTTCTCTCTGATCAATAATTCGAACTCCTTAATTCATTCATCACAGATTTTTTTTTAAAAACAGATACACACACAACACACACATGCACACAACTTACCGAGAAACTATTACTCATTCATTACTGTTGGGAATGCGGAATGGCACAGCCAGCCACCCTGGAAAACAAGCGTGGCAGTTTCTGAAAAAGCTACTAATGGCCCCACCCCATCCTGGGTGGAACAGTAAACAGGGAGGTAGGGCAGAATCCCAGTGCCTCCTACATCCTGTTCCCTGTTCTGGAAGAGGACAGGACAGTGTTGGTGGAGAGCTGAGAGGCCCCAGGGCAGGAAGAATTTCTTTTTAAATATATTCTATTGATTTTTTAAAGAGAGGAAGGGAGAGGGATAGAGAGTTAGAAACATCGATGAGAGAGAAACATCGATCACTCCCCACTGGGGATGTGCCCGCAACCAAGGTCTATGCCCTTGACGAGAATCGAACCTGGGACCCTTCAGTCTGCAGGCTGACGCTCTATCCATTGAGCCAAACCAGTCAGGGCAAGAATTTCTTTATGAGCTGTTACTTCTGATAGGCTGAGCCATTAACCGAAGTGACTACATGCAAAGACAGAGAAGAAAAGCTGACATCTTGCATTTGTCTGCTTTGAACACCCAGAATCAGAGTCACAGGCCATAGTGCTGCTAAGTGGAATTCATTTCTATGGAAGATCAATGATCAATTAATGCACAGTATATACGTGGGAGTGCTCGCTCCTCTAAATCAGCTCACCAAGGTCCTGAGAGCTGTGTTAAGACAAATTCCCCAACAACAAAAATGAAAGAAGTCATGGGCAGGTCTTCCTTCCCTATGCATTTCCCCCCAATATTGTTGCTTTTTCTTAAGATATTTTTTCTTTCAGAAGATGCAATGGCATGTATATAGTCCAATGCTGTTGCTTTCTTACTATGATTTGATAGTGCCACTTCCTAATGCATAGCCCTGTCCTCCCACTATTCGTGTTCCACATCTAGAGACAGGACCTGGCTCTTGGGAATGGACTCACCAACAACTGAGTGACTGATCTTCATCGGCTAAGTAAATAAGAGGTAAAAGGACCCAGTAATAGTGATAAAACAGAAAACAATACAGAAAATGAATACAGCCCAAATGCTGAAAGTATATGAAGAAAAATTAATTAATATTATGTCCAAATATTTATGTACACTGATTTTAATTTTTTAAAGGAAAACAACTCTATCAGAATTCATCCAACAATTGATTTCATGGTGGACATTTTCAAAATCCATATATATAAAAGGCTAATATGCAAAGTGTTCCCTCAGGAGTTCAACCGGGAGACTTGGATCACTTGCTATGATGTGCGCTGACCACCAGTGGGTGTCATGGAACATGGCGGGTGACCAGTGGCAGCGGTGGTGACTGGGCGCTGCTGAGGGAGTGAGGGAAGGATGAGGCAGAGAGGCGGAGAACCTGATCAGTTCTGATCGCCAGCCAGGCTTAGGGACTCTACCTGTGCATGAATTTCTGCACTGAGCCTCTAGTATAGAATAATGTGACAACTGATTTGGTATTCAAACTTGTCTGGAATGACAAAAAATTAAAAATGAAATAATAATGTACTACTTTTTGTATTTGTCATGCTTTTTGTCAAGAAGAAACGGACTTTGAATGATTTGTTTTAGTACTGATGACAAAATTGCACTAAACTCAGAAGTTGTGCTGAACCCCAAGCCTTCCTAGATTGTCACCTATAACTCTCAACTACAAACAGGCTGGGAGTAGAACAGGCTGTGGATTTTCTGAGAAAACTAGTGCAACTGTTTAAGATTTGTAAGTTGTTCTTAAAAAAGTCTGAATAAGCAGGCTTTACTTAGTTCCCTTTGTTAATACTGTAGATGTGTTTTTCTTTGTCTGAATATGCTATTTGAGTCTTACACTCCTATGAGTTTTTCATAAATAGAGGACATGTGATATTGATACCAAAGGAAAGATAACTATCATAGGACTAAACTTTGGGTCATTCCTTTTTTATAAGATTGTATATAAACAGATATGTGTTTCTTTACTTTCATTTACTAGTAATTGTACTTAGTGAAAATCAGTTAGAAAATTATGTCGGTATTTATTATCCACCTCTTTTACCAGCTAGATTTGAGGAGGTATATTTATCATATTTAAATCCTCACAACTTAATAAATAAGTAAATAGAATATTTCATTAATGTATGATATTTAATATCTATTGTCCAAATCAAATTTCCTATGTAAAATAATGGGTTATTTGAGGGGAAAACTAATCATGCAACAACCATACCATCCAACAGCTGTATCATTCCCAGGCAGTTATCCCAAATTATGAAGACATGTTCACACAAAAATCTGAACATTAATGTTCATAATAGTGTTATTTGTAATAAACATAAGCTGGAAATAATCCAGGTGTCCTTCAATGAATGATAAGGCAAGCTGTAGACCCACACCATGGAATATTCCTCAGCAATATAAAAAAATGAACGATAGGTACATGCAACAATGTAGATGAATCTTAAGAGCAATGTGCTGAATGAAAAAAGCCCAATCCCCAAAGTTAGTAACATACTATGTGATTCCACTTATACAACATTCTTGAAATGACAAAACTATAGAAATAGAAAACAGATTAGTGGTTTCCAGAGATTAAGGAAGGTGTGACTGTGAGAGGGAACTGGATGTTCTATAAAGAGGCAACATGAAGGATGAAGAATGTTCTGTATCTTTTAAAATATATATTGATTTTAGAGAGGAAGGGAGAGAGAAAAACATCAGTGATGAGAGAGAATCATCTATCAGCTGCCTCCTGCTCACCCCTTACTGGGTATTGAGTCTCAACCCGGGCTGTGCCCTGACCAGGAATTGAACAGAGACCTCCTGGTTCATAGGTCGAGGCTCAACCACTGAGCCACCCTGATTCCATCAATATATCCTGGCTATGATTTTGTACTATAATGTTGCAAGATGTTTTCATTGAGGAAACTTGGTAAAGAGTATATATAACCTCTGTATATTAATTCCTTTTTAAAAATATATATTTTATTGATTTCTTTTACAGAGAGGAAGGGAGAGGGATACAGAGTTAGAAACATCGATGAGATAGAAACATCGATCAGCTGCCTCCTGCACACCCCATATTGGAGATGTGCCCGCAACCAAGGTACATGCCCTTGACCAGAATCGAACCTGGGGTCCTTGAGTCCTTAGGCTGATGCTCTACCCACTGAGCCAAACCAGTCAGAGCTATTAATTTCTTTTTAAGAAATATTCAAAGTGATGAATAGCAAGAACCTACAACCAAGATTACTTTATCCAGCAAAGCTATCATTCAGAATTGAAGGTCAGATAAAGAGCTTCACAGATAAGAAAAAGCTAAAGGAGTTCATCACCACCAAACCAGCATTATATGAAATGCTGAAAGGTATTCTTTAAGAAGAGGAAGAAGAAAAAGGTAAAGATAAAAATTATGAACAGCAAATACATATCTATCAACAAGTGAATCTAAAAACCAAGTGAATACAAAATCTGATGAACAGAGTAAACTGGTGAATATAATAGAACCAGGGGCATGGAAAGGGAGCGGACTGACAATTCTTGGGGGGAAAAGGGTGTGGGGGTGCAGGAACAGACTGGACAAAAATCATACACCTATGGATGAGGACAGGGGGAGGGGTAAGGGCAGAGGGTGGGGTGGGAACTGGGTGGAGGAGAGCTATGGGTGGGGGGGAAAGAGGAACAACTGTAATAATCTGAACAATAAAGATTTAATTAAAAAAATAATAAAATAAAAAAATAAAAAATAAAAATGTTTTGATTGATTTTTGAAGAGGGAGAGGGAGAGGGAAAGGGAGAAAGAGAAACATCCATCGCATGCCCCCTCCTGGCATGTACTTGCATGTGCACCAACCGGGAATCCAACCTGCCACTTTTTGGTGCATGAGACAACACTCAACCAACTGCTCAGCCAATTAAGCCACAATGGCCAGGGCTTTGTATTAGTTCTTACAACTGCATGTGAATAAAAAATGATCCCCAAACTTATAAAGTTTAATTAAAAATATAATTTGTGATTTATTTGTCCTTTTTCTTTTTCCTTTGATTAATTTATATATCACATATGCACAGGTTGCAACATGGTCTTAACACAAAAGATACATTTTCTTGATTACTATTACATGCTACATTTACCCACATAAAATAGTCTCCTTTTGTTAAAGGATTCTTTTAAGCTAGGCACCTTTGTTACATTTAGAAGAATATAAACATATAAAAAGATAAATGAACACGATTTCCTTTGGTAGTTCCACCCTGTCTTTTGGTTTCATTGCTCAAAGTTCCTCTATTTTTTAACGTTTTTTCTTTTTGGCCATTTATTTTAATATGACTTGCAAAATCATAAAATGAGGAAGCTACAAGGTTAGTTTCATACAAAGTGTCTTTAAATACACTGGTATCCGCGGCAGCATGTGTTGACAACAGCCTGTTGGGAATGGAAACAGAAAGTTCTCTCACCAGAAAGCTTGGAATCTTTGTGTTGACTTTGAACTCTCAACAGTCAATAGCGCTGCTAACGGTACTAGGCGGTCGGTCCTGGGTCCTGGGGGGGTGCCCGGACGCCGGGTGGTGGAGGTGGGAGCCCAGCCGCCGCCCCGCAGGAAGCTGCCGGCTGCTCGCTGGGTGCAATAGCGGCCCCGCGCGGCAGCGTCGGAAACTGCAGGCGCTCCGCATATTCTAGGCCACTGGGAGGAGGAGGGGCGACCTTGCCCCAGCCTGTGCTCTGCCAAGAAAAGCACTGAAGTGGGACCAGGGCGATTTAAGCATTGAAGCTGGGCGAGGGTGACCGAGGCCTGCACCTGCTCTGCACCCCATACAATGCAGCGGGCCAGGGTCACACTCCTTCCGGGGGTCGTTCTGGGAAACCGGGGAATCTGTGACATCCCTCCCCCCGCCCCCCACCATGTACTCCGAGCACTGGACCACCCTCTGGTGGTCTTAAGGCGAAGGGAATTTGGGGGAGAGGGAGAATGAAGAGTGCATAGAATTTGTGGATATCCGATTTGGGCAATTAATGTCAAAAAGTATTCCAACACTGTCGTACTTCAAGTCGCTCTCCATCATCCCCAGTCTTGGTTTTGTCATCCTTTACGTTTTTGTTTTTTTTCTTTTCGTCTTGGTGGTGTGAAAGGGCATCACATTATGGTTTAATTTGGCCCTTCAGGATCTGTTTTGTTACTATTCTTCCCTCACCCTCCTGCCAAAACCTGGGGGTCATCCTAAATTCCTCTTCCCTTTCCCTCCACATCAGCAGGTGTTGTTGGTTCCACTTCCAAACACGCCCTTTCCTCTCCCTTTCTATCACCACATCCCTGATCCAAATCACTAAAATTTCTCTCAAAGCTTCCGAAGATCTCCCTCCAACTCTGCTAAATCACATCCCGCTCACATCCACATGCCCTGACAACAGCCTTCCTGAAATGTGCATCGGATCTAGCATCCCCACCTAAACGCTGGCCCCTCCACACTTCTCCAACCTCCTCTCTTTACTAGACTTCAGTGTGCAGGCCACGGTCTCATCTCTGACCACCTCCAGCCCCTTTGCACATGCTGTCGTCTGCTTTCCTCTCATTCTCAGTTCAAAAGCCCCACCCCCACAGAGAAGCCTTGTCTAAATTAGGACCCCACACCCAATCAAGCCATCAATTACTCCCTCACATCACCATATTGTTTTCCTTCCTAGCCTCTCTGTAAAATAGAGATTCTGGTATTTATCTATTATCTTCCTCTAAAATATAAGTTGGATATGGGCAGAGACTGTGTTTATCTTGATCACAGTGAAATCTCTAGCACATTATCACAGGATCCGTTCAGAAAACACATTCAATAAATATGTTTGTACAGCTAAATAGCTAAAGCCATTTCTTCTGTTTAAAACAGGTAAATGTGGCTGTTACACCACGGAAATGGATCAGGAGGTTTGATAGTTGCACAATAGGGACTCTCACTTCAAACAACAGCATGGATTTTACATGAAGGCGGAGGAATCTCTTCACTAACATACAAGCATCCCTGTGGAATCGCCTGTTCTAGGAATGGATATATCTACTAGAAATATGTGTTGTTGTTTTTTTAAAGATGGCAGAATTGAAACAGAGCTTATGGGAAATGAATGTTATATCAAGCATTGCTTATAAATCCTGATAATAACTGAAAATACATTGCACAAATGGAAATCTTAAGTAATGCTATTCTACCTTCCACACATATTTTTTAAAAGAACTAAGGGCCAGGAAATGTTACAGTTTTTGTATAATAGGCAGGAAATTTGCCTTTCAACAAAAACAGAAATCTCAGGACAAAGATCAAGCATATCTTTTTAAAACTGATTTCATCGTAACTGTTCTACAAATATTGAGTCACTTTTATTATCTTTAAGCATATCAATTCTTTCCCTTAAGCCCATAGATAATCCCTTTAACACAATCAAAGTTACTAGTTAATGTCAATTCACATACTTTCTTTCCTTGTTAATATACAAAGGTACATTCACAGAATCAGTGCATTTTGAATAAAAAGTAAACAGAGGAAACAGGAGACCTAGGGTCAATAACATCTTCAAGTCCAAGTTTGATCATCTAGAAACACAAAGTTTTGTTGATTTTCAACTATTTTTCTCAGATGTAATGCTTTAAATATGGCTGGTTCAGCAGGCCAGCTTTTTTATTTAAAAAAAAATATATATATATATATATATCTTTATGGATTTCAGAGAGGGAGAGGGAGATAGAAACATCAATGATGAGAATCACCGATCAGCTGCCTCCTGCACACCCCCCACTGGGGATCGAGCCCACAACGCAGGCATGTGTCCTTGGCCAGACTCAAACCCGGGACCCCTCAGTCTGCACGCAGACACTCCATCCACTGAGCCAAACTGGCCAGGGCTCAGCAGGCCAGCCTTGCAGGACAACAGTATGTGTAGCCAGCCACCACCGATCATCCAAAAATATATGGACACTTCCAGGATGCTGGTGTGGGTTCATGGAGTTCTGTGCGTAAAATTAAGAACACTTTTCAAACTTTCCAACTTTAATATTCAAGGCCAGGAACATCCATCTCCCAACCCTGTGTCTCCCAAGGTTCTCAAGGCTGGTTTTCATCAGGCAAGAGAGCACGTTGTTCCTCCTCTGTACCAAGGATATTGTGAAGTTTTGATCTACATTGAAGGAAAGAAAAGAAGAATCGTAGTATTTCTCATCTTAAAAAAATTCAGTACCTATGTCTCTACCCAACTACCTTCTCAAAGGTATCTGCCAAGTCCTGAGGCTTAGAACACCTAGAAATCTGCTGACTGTCAGAACGAAGGTAGAATGGTGTTTCTTTTTCATTTCCACAAGCCAACTTTCATTATTTATTTTTTCCCTTAATAATCCTTTATTGTTGAAAGCATTACATATGTCCATTTTTTCCCCCATTGACCCCCTCCAGCCTGTCCCCACCCCCCACCCCAGGTCTTCACCGCCCTATTGTCTGTGTCCATGGGTTATGCATATATGCATACACAGTCTCCACAAGCCAACTTTTATTATTATTATTATTATTATTATTATTATTATTATTGATTTCAGAGAGAAAGGGAGAGGGAGAGAGAGGTAGAAACATCAATGAGGAGAGAGAATCATTGATCAGCTGCCTCCTGCATGCCCCATACTGGGGATCAAGCCCACAACACGGGCATGTGCCCTTGACGAATTGAACCCAGAACCCTTCAGTCTGTAGGACAATGCTCTATCCACTGAGCCAAACCAGGTTGGGCCACAAACCAACTTTAAAGGGAGAAAGAAGTTCAAGAGTTGACCATACCTTCTTCTTCTCCTTGAGTACTCCAATAGATAAAACAAGCCCATCGACAGTCCCTTTAACACAATCGAAGTTACTAGTTAATATCAATTCTCAAAGTCATGTTTCTCCACACAAATAAAATGAAAATAAAAGACTGATTACTCACACTTGTCAGAGCCCACAGACCTTGTACAGCTGCTGCCCATTCAAAACCAATTTTCTCATACAGAAATCCACCCAGTGTTGGTCCCATAAAAGCACTAACAATGAAAAGAAGGGGTATTAAATAATAGAGAGAGAGAGAGAGAGAGAGAGAGAGAGAGAGAGAGAGAGAGAGAGAGAGATGGGGAGGAGGGGGCGAGAGAGATCCTTCCTAAGGTTGCATGCTCCTTCAGTTACAGGTTTTCATTAAATTGGAACTATAAGTTCTAAAGAAAAAAGGTGATTTCTGGACCTAGCATTGGGTATAAGAAAATGGTGCTACCTGAAAAATGATGATGCTTAAATCTTTTAAACAACTGTATAATTATAAGTGCTTCTGAAAAGTTGATGCCTTACACGAAAATAAAATTTAAAAAAGACAGGCATTCAAAATAATTTTTATACTATTCTCTCTACTCAGTGTTTGTATTAAAGATAATTTAATTCAGTACATATTTATGGATGATATCTACATTGCCAGCATACAGTTATACCTTTGGCATGGTATAGAGTAACAAAATAAATAAGTAAATAAATTTTAAAAATGGAGATATGGTCCTGATAAGTGAACTTAAAAATATCATTTTTATTTGGTTAGGTATATAAAACTGCTGGCATAACCAATGATCTTAGAGTCAGAGGGTACAGGTAAAACTCTGGTTCTGCCCTAAATAAATTGTGTTCCCTTGGCTAACTCATCTGGTATCTCCATTTGTTCATCTGTAACTGAGGGACAGTATTTTCCATCTGCCAGGGTGACTGGAATTCAGTGGCTACTCACCCCACGGACCACATTGCACTGAAGAGACCTGACACGAGGGCCAGTGTACTTAATCCTTCTTCAAACCCATTCTCACTGCAGAGAGACAAGAGTGTGTCAGTGACTGCAAGGGACGCTGTGCGGTAGACAAGAACTGTGCATAATGGACAAAGCAAGCCAGGAGGAATCTGAACAAAACCAAAAACAAAACCAATATCTTACTCCATTTCTAAGATAAAAAGCTAATCTAAGTTGAAGGAATTTTCATACTAATGTCTACTTCCTGGTTTTCTAAAAAATAATCTTGTTGCATATATGATACAACATTAAGAATCACAACCCATTTGCACTAAATGCTCAGAAAAATATATAATGAAGAAATTCTTAAAATGGGATGGGAATGTAAAGGCAGTTTTTAGAAAATGCAGAGAAGCTCCTTCTTCCTGTGGGAGATGTTGTTGACATAGCCTAAAGGCCAATATTCTCCCTGAAGGGATAAACTCCCCCAAGTTCACTCTGTGTTCTCCATCATCAAGCCTGCTAAATGGGAGACTGCTGAACAAGTGACAAATGCCTGGTGTGATACTGTGATTTATTGTAGAAGTACATGTTTGGTCTTGGTTCATTTCTGGCACACACAGCTCCTAAAATCCTTGAAATGTCCTAACTGATTGAAAGCAATAAAAGTCTTTGTTATATTAATGAGGTGACTTTTGGAAAACACCTAAGGATGGTGGCCGGCTGCCAGGAGAGCTGTTCCTGTGATTAGAGGGTTGAAACTTGTAGTCCCCCCACCCTCATCCCTCCACACCATTCACCTCTGGGCTGGAGGTTGAATCAATTGCCAGTGATCGACGATTTAATCAACCATGCCGGAGTAATAAAACTCTCATAAAAAACCAAAAGGACAGGGTTCAGAGAACTTCCTCGTTGGTGAACCGGAACCCTTACACCTGCCAATGTGCAGGGCCCAGACTATATGAGTATAGGAGCTCCTTTGTTTAGGGCCCCGCCACGTGTATCTCTTCATCTGGCTGTTGATTCCTACCCTTTACTATCCTTTGTTAATAAACATAATCTAGGGAGTAAATTGGTTTCTGGAGTTTGGTGAGCGGCTCTAGCAAATGAATCAAATCCAAGGAGGGGGTCATGGGGACATCTGATTGACAGCCAGTCAGTCAGGAGTACAGGTGATACCCTGAGCTTGTGACTGGCATCTGAAGTGGGGACAGTCTTGTGGGACTGAGCCCTAAGCCTGTGAAATCTGATGCTGTCTGTGGGTGGTCAGTGTCAGAACTGAGTTGAATTGTAGGCCACCCAGCTGGTGTGAGAGAATGGCTTGGCAAACCCCTCACGCATTGGACTTGGTACTAGAACCATTTTGCCTGGTCACTCTATGCTCTTGGCTGGACCTCCTCCACGAGAGAGGAATAATGCTGAGGCTTTTCCATTTTGCTTTGGTTGCTTAAATGTGCATCTATACATAAACCAAGCTACGCCTCTATCCACAACCCAGTTTAACTATTACTGTATACATTATCATTTATACTACTGCATTATTGCATATACTGTTTATATCACAATAGTGTGTGACATGATATCATAAAGATATACTATTGTGGAAAAAAAAAAACACTTCCAAAATCTCACAAAATTGAGAAATTCACAAAAGCCTGTTTAAAATACAGCTCTTGCCTGGCCAGCGTGGTTCAGTGGTTGAGCGTCAACCACTGAACCAGGATGTAATAGTTCGTGGGCTTGATCCCCAGTGTGGGGTTTGCAGGAGGCAGCCGATCAATGATTCCCTCTCATCATTGATGTTTCTATTTCTCTCTCCCTCTCCCTTCCTCCCTGAAATCAATAAAAATATATTTAAAAAAAAATACAGAATGAAAGTAACTTACTGGGCGCAACTGATAATCTCCGGGAAAGTTGGGATTATACTCATTCCAGAGGAAATGCCAATGACGACTAACATCAGCACCAGCAGCCACAGTTGACTGCAAAAGAGTTTCGGAGAAAAACAAAAATTAGCCTTTGAAGAGACACAAAGCTTCATAATAAGGGGGGCCCAGAGAGAAGTTCCTTTCACAGATTCCAGGCCTGGTCTTGTCCTCATTCCCATCTGGTCACATTTCATTCAGTGACCGCATCCTTTAGCTCCTTATACTTGGGGGTGGGGGTCAATTCATCCTGATATCTCAATGTCTTTTGTCACATAGATCACATGTCTGGAGTCAACTTGCCTTATATCACCTGCACAATCCTTTCAAAATTGGTGAAAGCACCAATGCTAATGTTTTTCTTTCAATTGCTTGGCTTTGAAATTCATTTGGCTAAAAAATGTCAGAGAAGGGAGGTGGTAAAGTGACAGGAAACTAGTATTTGTACCACACGGAGCACTATGCCAGTTACTTAGCACCCATTACCTCACTGAATGTTGCAGCATCCCTGTGATATTAGTACTATTTCCAAATGAAGACAATTTAGGTGATAAAAACAGTCTCCTTTCTGAGAACTGCAAAATGGGACAGAAGGCCAGAAGCTTTGATAGGATAAACAATAAAAAAAAAAAAGGAAGAGAAAACTAAAAAGTATCTGATTGGGGCAGCATAGTCAACCCTATCTGGTGTTTGGGGATTGGCTGACTGGCTAGCCTGTATTTCTGGCTGGATCCCCAGTAGGGGGCATGCAGGAGGCAGCCAATTGATGATTCTTTCTCATCATTGATGTTTGTATCTCTCTCCCTCCCCCTTCTTCGCTGAAATCAATAAAAATGTTAAAAAGCAACAAAAAAACAAGCTTTGCCGAGCAGCTACTACAGAGTAAGGATGACACAAACAAACAAACAAACAAACACATTTGGTCCCCGCCTTCCTTAAAACAAAAAACATTTTAAGTATCAACTAAAGACAAGTGTCAACAAAAAAGTATGATATTGAAACACAAAGGAAGAACAAGCATATTTCTCATTTGATACAGATCTTATGCATTCCTGTTTGCTTGTACCACTGCTAGCTTCTAGTAAG